GAGTACCAGTAATAATAACCCATGTTTTAAACTTAAACAATTAAATCTAATTTACATTTTGACTTCTAACTTTCTCTGATAAGTAAAACATAAAAAATTATTCCCATAACATAAAGAATATCAATAATAATAACATACATGTATTAAGCTAGTTCCAATAGGTCCCTTTTACATACTAACCCTTAACTTTCTTTAACAAATAAGAAATAAAAGACATATTATATAAAAAAAATCTTTGCATCGTCTTGCAGTCCTGGTCAGAAAAAAGATTCCAGTAATAACAACCCAAAATCAAAACTCATACAATTTAACCATGGTCAAATAAGTCCACTTTGAACACCATTTTCCTCTTTTTAAGCGGTTTGATCGTCAGTCGCTTCTTCAAAGAAAGTCCCACATAGTAATTTCTTATCATTTTGTCCCTATCTGTTTTCAGAAGCAACTTCAGAGATTTAACATTTCCCTTCTGTGGATCCAAAGTAAAATAACTCTCCAACTCACTCTTCTGATTTGTAAGATGGATATCCCCTTTGATTATTAAAACATCACCCAGCAAAGTTTGTATATCCATTTCGACTTCTTCCTCCATGTCACTCTTGTAATCAAACATCTTTAAATCCATTGTCAGATCCACATCTTTTTCCAGATCTTCCATATTTCTTTTATAATCTGGAGTTTCTTTAAAGTCCATTTTAAACTCTTTATTCACATCATCCTCCGCTTCTGTTTTATCCAGCAGAATCTTTTTTTCTTCTATAACCTCTGTTAGATCCAATTTTAAAAATAAATCCTGAACACATTGTTCCCAAATAGATTTAAATTCTTCTATACTGAGACAATGTTCCTCCATTATGTTAAGATGTATCTTTTCCTTTAATTGCTCTCTGGTTCCCTCTAGTTAACCTTTAAAGCCCAGTCTTATCTTTTGTTTATTTTCAGAGCCAAAATTTTCCCAGAATAGGTTTTCTGACAGTTAAGTCCAAAATCATCTGCTGTATTTTTATAAAATTTAAAACAGTCCATAGAAAAAAAACTATCCTTTCAAATCCATCTGGCCTATTAACTGTCACCAGTCAACATTCTTAATTCCCTTTTGCTGCTTCCAAAAGATTTTTCTTTTTAATCTTTAAACTTACTTAAATCTTCTTTCTTCCAGGATAGAAGGAAATTCTCCTGGTGTACAGCAGCTTGCCTTTCAGAAGGTTTTTAATGTCCATGTAAATCAGTAATAAGTAGTTTTTAATGGTAACTAAAAGAGGAAATGAAAGCAAATCTGGTGTCCTTTTGAAGACTGCGAGGTGCATGATGTTTCCCATGACTCCCAGAGTGCTCAACCAGAGATCGCTAAAATGTGATCTCATCACAGGGAGACTCTGTAAGGATGTGGATGAACCAGTTATCTCCTTTGTCCAGAGATGTTCCAAAGAGCCAGACCTTTTACTAGCTTCTCTAAGCTGCTGTGGTTGTTGGCTCTGCAAAAATGAATTACTCCCCTGGAAGTGTGCAAACTGTATCTTTCAAGGATCTCAGAATATCAATTACAAAAATACATAGAATTGGTTTGTGGTTGAAGTGGCATATAAGGCTGAGTAATAAATTAAATAAAAATAAAAAGTTCACTGCTGAAGCTGTGCAATGTTTTTATGAACCACTGAAGCCGTGCGTTTTTAATATATAGCCTGTTTTCAATGGTTTTCAGCGGTTCATGACAACATGTGCACCTTCAGCAGTTCATTGGCTCAACAAAAGAGAATGCTGTCCGCCATTTTTAGTAACAGCCCGTTCATAAGTACGAGTTCCAACTTTTACATACAAATTTGGGTTAAAGACAGACTTAGGAATGGAACTTGTTCTTAACCTGGGGACTGCCTGTAATTTGTAACTATATTAATGTATGGAATTTGGAGCAGGAAATGCTAAAATAATTTACAAATATATCTAGAATTTGAAGCTTGAATTTATATAAAAAAAAATTTACATTAGATTAGAGGGGGGAACCCATGGCCTTTCAGATGCTACTTGTTTCCAAACCCTATTGTCCTTAACTATTGGCAGTGTGGACTGGACTGATGATAGTAAGAGTTTCTCCACATGTAGGTGGTCAATGACTTTATATTTCAGATAAGATTAGTTACAGAAACATTTATTTCTTAAATGTATATTTTAGGCCAAGGTCAGAGATATCTTGAAGTATGCTCCAGTGGATAGAGCGGGTCCTTCTTTTGACTAAATACTCAAAGGATTACATGGTTAAAGATGATTATGTATTTAATCAGTATATAGCCATTTCTTGGCAAAGACAGATTCATGGATATTTCTATTTTGCAACCAAATTTTTGCTACATTTTATTTGCTTTTTTTAAAAGCTGGAAACTTATCTATGGCAAAACATGTAATATTAATTGGTATCATAGACTCCTGACTTAGTAAGACCATAACTGTTTCCAAATGAGACAACTGTCATACAATTATGTAATTACCTGCCTTATTCATAGAAATTTGGGGATAGGGTCCAAATACTATCTTTTCCTTTTGTACCTTTGGATGTTCCTGTCTTTTTCCATATTACCAAAAATATTTATTAAGGAGAAAAGGATTGAATGCATCTAGGAATTGCCCATCTGAAAACACCTCTTGCAGAAAATTAATACTTCAGTGCTAATTGAGGCTTTGATTTTCCTGAACAGCATTTGTTCTTCAGAAAAGCATTTGGGGACAATGAGAATTGACCTATCCCCCATTGGTTGGCACTAGGCAAAACTGTTTTTTTGATTACTATGATTGTATTTTATTGTTCTTTGTTGCAGCCATTCAGAGCTGTGTGGAATTCAACAGCATACACAACATGGTAGATAAATAAAACTACTGGGATTAGATTTCTGCATATCATTTTATATAGCATTGTATTAACTGATGTCAGGATGTTCCTGTAAAATGTCTGTTCATAAGTAGATTCCATATTGTAAAGCAGGTTGCCCATACCATTTATTGCTTCCCTAGTCAGTGCTGGAAGGAGCTTTGATTTTTATTTAGTCAGCTTTGATTGACTTCCTATACTGTAGAAGGAAAGGATTACAAATAGTGCTCACTTAATGACTGCCCTGTTTAGCAACTGTTCAAAGTTACGATGGCACTGAAAAAGTAACTTTATGACTGGTCCTTGCACTTACAACCGTTGCAGCATCCCACAGTCACTATCCCAGCATCCTGCAGTCACTAAATAATAGTTATCATTATTTGTGCACTTCACAGCTGGCTTCCAACAAGCAGAGTCAATGGAGAAACTGGCAGTAAAATCAGAAGTCATGGTCATGTGATGTCTTGCTTAATGACTGCAGGTGATTCGCTTAATGACCATGGTGGAAGTGAGGTCATAAGCCTATTGCAGTCACATGATGTCTCACTTAGCAATGGAGTTGCAGTTCCCAGTTGTGGCCATTAAGCAAGGGCTACCTGTATAAAATTACAGATAGTCCTCATTTAGCAACCACAATTGGGACTGGCAACTCACTCACTAAGTGATGCAGTTGCTAAGTGCTCTAACCTGGCAACATCATTGTAAGGCAATACTTCTGAAAGCCAAATTTACTATGACGGCCTTGGTTTGATATTTTTACTCAAAAGGAGGAAGATATATTCCCACAGCAATAAAAGTTTTCAATGCCAAAATTGTATCACAAATTCTATATGGAGCTCCAATCTGGATCACATTTGCCAATAATAACATAGCACAATTGCAGGCAAAATTTTTAAGATCTCTTTTAAGTGTACCAAGCTGTGTTCCACATTCTTTCATTCTCTTGGAAACTGGGCAATGTCCTTTGAAAACAAAGGCCTGGTTAAGCACTGTTAAGTTTTGGTTGCAAATATATGTTTTTAAAAATAAGGAAGGATTGCTTCAGGAAATTCCAAATGAATCTTTTGTAGATATGTGGTTTAAAAATAAGGAAGGATTGCTTCAGGAAATTCCAAATGAATCTTTTGTAGATATGTGGTTTAAAAATAAGGAAGGATTGCTTCAGGAAATTCCAAATGAATCTTTTGTAGATATGTGGTTTAAAAATAAGGAAGGATTGCTTCAGGAAATTCCAAATGAATCTTTTGTAGATATGTGGTTTAAACAAGTGACTCAAAAGATAAGTCAGATTGGCATTGACCCTGATTATTGATTTTCCAGGGGTATGTCATCAGCATTTCATTGTATCAAGCAAAGATTATGGGATAACTCAGTACAGGAATTAATAGCCAAAGCCAACGTATCATGTTCACCTGTAACTTTTGGCATTAACTACAGATATATTTTTCAACTCCCTAAATATTTGGATAGCTTATATATAAGTAAATACAGAATAGA